CAGTTAAATTGAAACTACATTGTAAAACAAGATTTAATGTAAAGTAGTATAAAGCAAATGCACACCTCACGGCAATTTTGTACATAATTGTAATACAAGGCAAAGCGCATTCACAAACAATATTGTAATACACTCAACACGCGATGAGAAGAAATTGAACGATTGAAAGAGCAAAAATATTATTGTATAAAGAACAGCGGTTCTTTACAGTTGAATGGAAGGATGAGTGTAAAAGATTAAGCTACATAAACAACACAGACAACAGAATGCAACACGCACACACACACACATAAAGTCGAAAACAAGTATACAGGCTCAACACTATATAAATTAAAAAGTCAGCGTCGTCGAGGACAACGACGTCGCGGCCTTGGACGTGTAACGTACGATAGTATAGGTGAAACTCTACGCTTCCTCTCCTCAAATCTCATAACGAGGGGCCCTAGGGCCAGGGGAAGGGAAGTGCGAGCAAGGAGAGAGTCTATTTGGGGAGAACACGACGAGCCTTTGAAGGGAACACACGCGCTACCTTGCCTATGATTTCGGTATCTTGAATAAAGCTCTTGAAGGAATCTGTGTTGATCATCCTCGCGAAGTACCTCCTTACCAATATCTTCCCTACGTAACAGTTTATATCCAAGGCAAAATGTTATGGATTACTTTTTTTTTACGACAGAGTGAATTGGGAATAATTTTAAGGGGTTGTAATAACCTTCCCTTGATAACAGATCCCCAATTCGTAGTCAGTGATCTCACAAACCTCCGAGAGACGATTTCTAAGAAAAAATATTATTTTTTAATTTTTTTTCACTACTGACACAACTGGGGGTAACGTTGAGGGGTTACAACTGTCCTTCCTTGATAACAGACCCCACATTCGTAATCAGCGACCTCAAAAACTCCTGATAGACGATTTCCGAGGTAAAATATTATATTTTACTTTTTATTCATGACTTATATGACTAAGGATGATTTTGAAGGGTCGAAACAACCCTCCCTTGATTACAGACCTCGGATTCGTAGTCAGTGACCACGAAAATCCCCGAAAGACGATTTTTGGTGCAAAATATTGTGTCTTACTTTTTTTTATTACTGACATGACTGGTGATGATTTTAAGAAATTGAAACTACCCTCATTTGATTGCCGATGTTTGATTCGTAATCAGCGACCTTGAAAACCCCTGAAAGACGTTTTTCGAGGCAAAATATTATTTTTTATTTTTTTTCACTACTGACACGACTGGTAGTAATTTTGATGGGTTAAAACAACTCTCCCTTGATAAAAAACTTTGGATTCGTAGTCAGTGACCTTGGAAACTTCCTAGAGACGATTTTTAAGGCAAAATTTTGATTTTTCATAATTTTTTTTACTGTCTTACTTGGGGTGCTTTCAAAAAGATTAAAATCACTTTACTTTTTTCAATTGTTTCAGAGCAAGGTGAAGGTTAGTGGTGACGAATATTCCTATGGATCTAAGAAATCATGGAAAAAAAAAATTTTTGAAATCGGATCTGTTGCACCACTTTTCCAGATTGTATAGTATTTCCTAGCTCATTTACTGGATTATACTAAAAATTTAGGTAGATTTAAGAAATGACCACAAGACGGCCGTAGCTTAACCCAAACAGGCCCTAGCCAGTATTGTAATGAGTTTATCGAAAGGACATGGCCAGACTATGATGTTAGAATACAAATATAGGTATACTATATAACCTCTGATACACACACACACGCTTCAATTCTTCTTATGTTTGTTTATGCTTGTTCATTGTATTTATCCATACATTAAACGAAATATGAGTGAGAAAGTTGAACGAATGAAAGGAAAAATACTCACGAGTGTGCAAATTTTGAGAAAAAAAAAATTAAGCTCGCTGTAGTATGATTAGTATGAATACGAGTGGAACAAAAAACCAACGTTAGACTGATTTTCAAGTGGATTGTGAACAATGTGCATGATCAAGACAGTACTTCTGAGTTTGTAGCTAGTAATATTGATGTAAAAATTAAAAAACTTAAATTTAGAAGAATTCAATCATCATTTTCTTGTATGTTCCTAAAAATTCAATATTGTAAGTCACTTAAAAAGTGTTAAATAAAGCAGCAATAATCCGTGTATAACATTTTTTCTTTACATTTGCTAAAATAATTGTAGTAAAGGAAATGACGCGTAATTTTAGTGTCAAGAAAAAAATCGAATGTTGCTTGGTACTTTAGTTCTAGAGTCAGTTTGGAACCTTTTTGTCATTGCACTATAACTTCAAAATAGGTAGGATCGGAGATAGAGGGGAGGGGGTTTGAAAATGTAAAAAAAATTTCAAACAACCTTTACAACTTGGTTTGAGTTAAATAAAATCATTAGTATTATCATTAAAGCGTTTAAAAATGCGTAACAACATCATATACAAAACATTTAAAGGTACTACATGTTTTATAGGTTTAATTGATAATGATACTTAGATTGATGAATTTTTTAAGAAGCTAGCAGAATTGGGCTTCCTTTTTAATTACAAGAATTCAAGTAAACATTCAAGTTAATACCATATGGTTAAAATATAAAATATATTTTACAGAAGATTTTATTAACAATAAAAAAAGCAGTACTCTTCTACAGATAAACAAATTTCTTGAATCAAGGGTAAATCACGCTTATAATTTAATTTAAGTTCCAAGCAAAACTATCTTAAGCCCAAATAATAGCAGAAGGAATAATAGTTCAAGGAAATTGCATTGTTTTATTACGTGTTTAGTTCAGTCTATATTTATTGAAATGATGATCAAAAAATATGATTAAAATTATACATGAGCACACTAATAAAATTTTTTTTATTAATAGATGTGTGTATGCGTGTGTGTGTGCGCGCGCGCGCGCATGTGTGTGAATATATACTAGTAGAGCTACTCCTCATTTCCAGTTTAAAGTTGATTAGTTAAGTTAAAAAGTTTCTTATTCTTTTTATTTTACAGTCTTTTACTAAAAAGTAATTTCATCAAAAATATTAACGCATTTAATTTCTAGATAAAATATTGAAACAATAATTTTTATAATTTTAGCAATGTTTTTGACAAATTAACTATTCATTATAAGCTGGTCTTCACGCACTCTGCGTACGATCATCATCAATAAAGAGTTGTGTGAAGTAAATTAAAAATACTGTATGTACTATATAAAAGGACTTAAACGTAATGTTATTCGATATAGCATTCAGACTTTTCACCTCATCAACTACTTTCGTTTGGAAAGTTTTTATTTACAATCAAATTTATTGTTATTCGAGCAAAATCTAATGAAATAGAAGAAACACAAATTGAATTTATTGTGCAGTGGAGGTGAAATGTCGTCAAGTATAAAAATAACAGATGTATAATAAATATTATAATTTTTTATGAAGGTGGCAGCCAGATAAGCTTCTCTTGTCCCTATCATAAAGTAATCTCACAAAAAATTATAAGTTAGTTTAAGGGTTGTGTGAGGTGTAGGAGGATGTATGGACAGCCCCAACAAAATAATTATATTATATAGGAAGATATATAAACCTCCTTATATTATATAGTGACTTTTAAGGATCATCCCACGCAAACCCTCGCCACCCTTTCTTCACTCATCCTCTAAATGAGGTAGAATTCTTTTGATTTTAACCCTATTTTTACTCGGTTAAACTTTTTGAAGCACTGCCTCCACCCACCTCACCCCCCTACTCAGTCTTGAAGAGCCTGCCTCAGCTCCTTCTCGCAAACCCCCTCTTAATAAGGTAAACGTCTATTGGTTTTTACCTTATTTTTGTTGTGTTGAATTTTCATGTAGAAAAGTTTCAGTCTCATGACAAATAAAAATGTTGCACAATATCTTGCACTATTTTTCTTGGCCCTTCTCCTCATCATTCATACGCACATGGTATGTGAACCCATATCATATGCTGGAATTCCAGCTAGCGACACTAGCGTATGTGGCTAAGATCGATGGCACAGCCACAATGATGAGTCCCACTAACAAATAAGGCAAAATGTGTTCAAATCCCTTTCTTTTTTCTTCTTTTCTCAACCTTGCTGTGTATACTGGGCCAATTCAAATGTTAGACGTATGCATTAAAGAACGCTACAAAAAATCATGGAAAATGTTCAATGTATCCATATGTCATTGTCCTACCTCACCTTTAACAGATCACTGATCTTTATTTCTGCGATACATATTCAGTTTATCCATATATAGAATTGATTAATACTATTACTTGATACTTAGAAACTTAAAATACCAAGAAACTAATGAATAATTTCTAAGCATTATATTTAATGTTCAAAAGTAAACAAAATTGGATATGTTAATTTAGATTTACATAGATTCAGAAAGTATACAGTGAAACAAAAAGTTTTAATTGTATATACATTACTATTTTCTGTTAAAAGTTGTAGTGTGCAGGGGCAAAGCCCATTAGTATATATCTATATATGTAAGTAAAATTCACGTATCTTCCTACATGGAGGAAAAAGAGAGAAGAGGATGAGATCAGTATTGCGCAAGAACGTCATATGTATGCTGATAACTATGCAGTGTTTTATGAAGTGCTTGTATTCCTGCTCTATTCCTTTTTTCCTTTTCTCTTATTTGATCATTGTAGACTGCTACTATATCAGCGCTTCTGTTATTTTTCTAATGTTTTTTATTGTTGAAATATAACATTTATTCTTATTACGAGTAAAATTTTTTTTTCTTTAAGTATATAAGTATTATTAAGTTTAAAGAAATTTTCTAACTAATAATGCACAATTATGCTATGATAGTTTACGTCATTAGTGCGCATCTTTTTTAGTCTGAGCCTAAGAATACTTACAACAACTATACTTAAGCAAGGTGTTTGATCGTCCTGTCCGAATGCGCATTAGAGAACAACACTATTTTTCTTGTTGAGGGCGGAGAAAACGTTCAAATATCACAAAAAAGATCCGAGATAGAAAAAATACATTTTTTTTCTTCTTTTACAACTTGAAAACAAATATTTCAGACACGTCTTAGTGAGCAGCGGACCAAACCTTAGCCCTGAGCAGTGGGAAGTGTGTGGAGTCGCATGTCACCGTGCCTGCTCAATTTCACTACAGGAGTTGCACCAGCTTATGATGGCATTTTCGGAACGATCCGAATCATTCAATGGGGATATTGCACATGTAAAGGTTGCAGCACGCCGAGATGCTACACTTGAAGAGACCAAGAGATTAAGACAGTTGGCTGCACAGGTGAGAAATTGTTTGTTGTCATGTTCAAAATTCCTGTATTTTTCTCGATTGAGTGTGGACAGGGTTCTTGAGTAGTTTAGGAAAAAATTAATATGTTGTTTATTTGCAAGAGTATTGTGTAGTTTACTGGGCTTGATAGATTTTGTTGATAGTATGTCGAAATAATCTCCAGAAAATCTATTTTGATGTAGAGTATCCAAAATTTGTATTTAGGGAAAAAGTGTCATTACTCATCAACTGACAGTTGTGAAGAAGTTTTTGGACCAAATACAAAATAGTAGAAATCCATATTTGTTAGAGTAATTATAATATCGAACTACTGCTCATATTTTTTGGCAACGTAAATTTCTTAAAGATAGACAGAATTCGTTTGATTACTTATTAAAACTTGAAGATTTTGATCCTTTATTAATATATTGACTTTTCTTGGACAGCAGATCCTTACTTAATAAAGTCATGAAAAAGTTTTTTGATAAAACAGGAATACGTATCTAGAATTATACACTATTGTATGTACATTTATTGACGCTTCAATTGTTACTGCATTTACAAACTGTTTTGCTTTTTTAACAGGCTTAGATTTAAAACTACACTTACTATGCCATGTCGTAGGGTATCCACTTCGAAAGAAATTCTACAAAATGAATAATTTCTTTGAAAAATACAACCATAAATGTCAAAATTACGTTGTCGACAAATGAAAACATTTCTTCTATAGGATCGAATTGTCTGAAAAAAATTGTTTCCAATGTATTATGTAGAATTGACAAAATTCATTGTAAAACAATATTAATTTAAAATAATCTATTTTGAAATGATAAGAATATAACAAAGTAATATAACTTAAGAAATTACTGTTTAAAAATCGTATAAAATATCGTACAATAATCCTGTACTATCAAATTATTCAATATTTTTTAAATCTTCTATATTTATTCATAACTCTAAAGAAGAAATTTTTAATTCCGACAGATTTGAACAACATGCAATATATGGCACAAAAACGCGGGACATGCATGTATAGATATACAGCTACTTATATTCACTGATTACCTTTTTCTTAGTTTTCTTACCACACAGTCTCTCCTCCTGGCTCCTACCCTGGTACTCTTCTCTACTTTCTAGAGCATCAATTTTCTGTATATTTATCAAAATATGTTTACAGATGCATACTGCTACTTTATTTAATATGCTGCGTTAACTCTCTTTCTTTCTCACTCTTTTTCTCTCGCTGTCTCTTCCTCTCCCTCTCTCTCTCTCTCTTTCTCTGGCCAGTAACGGCGAGTAACCTTATAGTTGGTCATATCAATATACAATCGCTACTGTGACACTCTGCCGATGTACACGAATTAATTTCTGTTAATAAACCACACATTTTTGTCATCAGTGAGACCTTCCTAAAGCCCAATCAACCCACTGCCTCAGTTGACATACAAGACTACTCGTTCTTCCGCTGTAATAGGCTACCTGCGACTAAAGGAGGTGGTGGAGTTTTCCTGTATGTGCACTGTTCCCTAAGAAGCAAACTTGTGATTTGTTCAATTCAAGGTGAAGCTTATTCAAAGAAACCTGAATTCTTACTAGTTGAGATCCAGACTACCACATTAAAATTTCTCTACGTCACTGTCTACAATCCTCCCAAGGCTAGATTTTGGTCTGAGGTTGAAGAAGCGATTATGTAGTGCAACTCGTCTTACGACCATCTTATCCTAATGGGTGATGTAAATCTATACATATAATTTTAAAGAGTCTCTACAAGTGCTAGGGCTTCATCCTGTTCCAAACAGTCCTACTCACCATACTAAAAATTCCAGCTCTACCGTTGATTACGTGTGCTTGTCTTAACGAGTAGACAATGAATGCTCCTTCCAGCTAGAAGCTTTTTCTATCTCTAGGCATGATGCTATCTTTGTTAAATTAAACCACGATGTACCTTGCACCGATGCTTCAGTTTTCTCTCGTCGCAATTTTAAGTTTTTTAAATGCGAAGAGTTTCGAGAAGAATTAGCTGCTACCTTAAAAAATAATATCGACCCTAGCAGCTGTGCAGATCACAAAGTGGCTGCTTTGACTGCAGTACTCACTAGCCTTTATGATAAACATGAGCCCTTTGAAACAATAACAAGAAAAAGTAGACCATTACCCTGGATAACTCCACATCTTAAATCTTTTATCAGGAAACATAACAGAGCTTGAAGAGAATATAAGCACTCACTTTTGAACAGTACTCATGCAATTTATAAACAGATCCAGAACAGAGCCCAAGTTAAGATTAGAAGTACTCGTCATGCATACTACTATGATTGCATCAGCAAGTGCAAGAACATCTCCCAATAGTAGAAAGTGATCAATAGCCTAGGTCTTATAAAAGGATCTGCCACTCCACAGATGAACGTTCCATTTGACTTGGATGCTGCGAATCGTCACTTTATTGGTAGCAGCAGCGTTGCTCCTCTGTTCGACGTACGTCATGGTATTTAACGTAGAATCAACCCAGATCAAATATTCTACTTTCGCCATGTAACTTTTGACAATGTACGTTTAGCTATCTTGTCTGCTCGCTCTAACGCTATGAATTTTAATGGGATACCTCTATGTTATTTTAATAGTCACGTTAATCTCCTGGTGACAACAATAATAACTATATTCGATGTCTCCTTCCAGTTCAGCCCATTTCCGGAGGACTAAAAATAGCTCTTATTAGGCCTATACCTAAAAAATTTGGTGGCAAAGACTTTAAAGATCTTCGACCTACAAGTATCCTGCCAGTGCTTAGCAAAATTTTTGAATTTGTAGCATACAGGCAGCTCAACAACATCAATTCACGTGACTTACTCTCTACCTACTAATCTGGGTTCCGTGTAAAACATAGCACACAGTCTGCTCTTATGAAAATAGTTGACGACGTTCGAGAACTCTCTGATAACCGAGAAATTAGCATGCTAGTCTCTATATGTAGAAATGTCTTTCCTATTCTCGAGTACTGCTCTGCTTCACAGCTTGATTTGTCTGGTAAATAAAAAACTAAGCTCAGCACGTATATAAATGCAGCTTTGCGGTTTGTAGTGGGCATCAAAAAGTCTGACCACATTACATCTACCTATCAACGTTTCAAATGATTGGCATTCGATGTGCAGACTAAATATCTTACTCTGCACTTTTTGGCCACCATGCTTAAAACAGGATAGCCAGCATATCTCGTAAATTACTTGAAGTTCAAAGTTCTGGAAAGAGCTAGAATAAGAACGACTCCTTTGATCTGAGTGTGCCCGAAAAAACGATTGACTTCTTAATGTTTGCTTTTAGAAAGGGTGCGCTAAGACTCTGGGACAAGCTGCCTGTAAACATCCATGGCATTTTTGCGAGACCTTTTTCCGGTAGCAAGCTCTATGAGCTGCTTCTAGATCGACCTAAATACTTTGATTAAATAAGTACCTGTAATTTAAAGGACTCGTGATCTCAACTTAATAATTGTAACTCTTTTATTCGCAAAATCTGTACTGTATTTTATTATTACTTGATTCATATTCATACATATATGTATATTCGATATTATATCTCATTTTGTAGGTAATTTATTTACTAGAGCACTTAATTATCTCTCTCTCTCTCTCTCTCTCTCTCTATACAATTTATATAGATACATATAGTTGTCTCAGTGGAGCATTCCACGCAACTCCTCATAGCATCAACAGACCCCCATTAACCACCCACTGCCCCCCACAAAATAAGGTAAAAACCTGTCAGTTTCTCAGTTATTTTGACTCATTGCCTTCCCACCGCCTTCCCACCCACCCCCCATACTACTTTTGGAGAACCTGACAGGGATCATACCGTCTTTCTCGGAACTTGATGTGTACACAGACGTGTACGTGTCGTACTATATGGTTTAATCTATTATTTTTAATCTGCTTCATCAATAAATTACTTTAAGACAAAATTGTCTAATCACCATTATTTATCTAATCGTAAAGAAGAAATTTGTTAGCATAATTACTTCCACAGTGCGCGACTGCTCAAGGGTTACCATGTGCAAGGGTACAAAAGAAAACATATTAGCTACAGTGTTAAGTTTAATGTAATACGAAATATAATTTATTAAACTCAGCCTTGCTGTCTTTGTACGAAATCCTTACAGTCGTATGTAACTGTTGTGTGTGCAGGCTAGAAGCTCGTTTAACACTAACTCACAGACCGATACGCAGCATCAACTATGTACTTAAGTACTACCTAAATCAATACAGGTAGCGCTGTATGTAAACTTTACATCTAACACACCCTCCAGTTTCACAGAACGCCAATTACAAGTTGCCTTTGACTGATTGTCTTGTTATTACTTTGTACTTCAATCTTAATATTAGAAGGAATCGTTCAACCTAGTTCCTTAAAGGAAAAAATAAGTAAAAGAAATATATATATATGGGGAATTCTTTTTGATATTTACCCCCCCCTGCTGTCCAAAAATGGAAGCAGCTAAAAAATTATGATAAATCACTATTTTGTAGCTTGAAGCCTGCAGTTTACGATACCGAGTGGCTCTTTCTGAAAATAAAAAATGGCGGCTGATGGCATGACTCTGACTGTCGATGAAGACCGCAAAAAATGTTAAAGTAATCAAATTTCTTGAAATCTTATCATATTGCAAGCCAAAAAAATGTGTAAATATATTTCTTTTTAGTTGTTTTAGTAAAGTTAAGCATATGTGTTTTAGTATAAGGTCATATTTTGGTTCTAACCTCAAAAAACAGCTCTAAATCGTATTTTTTTGTTAAAATATTCCATGTAGCCATCGAGATAAGCACAAAAATATGTGAATTTTTTCTTTGTGAACATTCTTTTATGTAAATTACCTTAAGTAAACCTTAATTAAATAAGGTGTTCAGTCTGTGAGAAAACGAAATCTGTCCGTGACCTATATAAACAGTCATTAACGTCTATTTTGCTAGTATGAGGGCATATCGCAAAAAGCTCATTCATCAGATGGCATGACTGTGCCTAAG